TAATGAATTAGAAGCCTACATAAACGACACAGGATGTTTAATGCAAACATGCAATAATGAAAAAGTTCTTGGACCTACAAATGTATTACTCTTGGAATGATAAACTGCTAAGCAAAACGGCGTATAGATGGTTTGAGCTATTTTTACAGAGGCATCAAAAATAAATCCTTGATTTCATGTACGGATTTAATAGGAATGTTTTATATTAATAAATATTAATTGAGTATTTGATTGCCTTAGGATATTTTATGTTAGTAACTTAATGGCAATTGAAAATGTTCCATCATTTTTATTTCCCCCGTTACTGGTATAAAATCAAATATATTTTATGTCATCTGACAAAGAAATCACTTTAGGGAATTATTGTTATGGCTTTAAAAACGGATGCCGTCTCGGGTGAGTTTCAATTGGCATTCAAGGAGCCTCCAAGGGAGAACGCGATGATTCATCTCATTGCTTGTATGACACTAAGTATATTTCAAATCAGCTGACAAAAAAGATAAATAAATTGCTTCCTTTATTTCTGTTGGGCTAAGTGGCGGGGTGGGGTGGATACATTATTTCTCTTCTTTTCTTGGGTATGTTTATATTTCATCTTGCCTAACATTTAAATAAAAAATATATATCTAGCGACTCGAAAAGTGAAATCGATGAGACGAGTTCGAATTCCGGCCAAGTTATTAAAGCAAGCGTCCCCCAAGGCTCTATCCTTCATCAGTTCTCAACTCGCTATCTATGCTGATGAAACAACTATTTACTCTTGTCTTAATAATAAGTCTGATCGATTCGATAAAGTCAAATTGGCAGCTGATCTCAAAAAATAACCTACAATCTGTTGTTAACTGGGGCAAGCAATGGCTTGTTAATTTTAACGCGCCCAAAAAGAAACTGCACTCTTTTAATCGTCTGAGGGAACTCATTTTGCCTTCCATCAGCATGGCTGATGCTAACCCCCAGGAAAGTGACTCACTACGCGAGATTCATTTTCCGTTGACATGAAGTGGAAAGAGTATATTGAATCAATTGCTAGATCTTCTGCTAGGGTAGTTCGGTCATTGTATCTTACAAATTTATAAGTCTATCATTCGTCTAGGCACTGAATATTGCTGCCACATTTGGTCCGGTGCTTCTGCTTTGAATTTAGAGATTTTTAATAAAATCCAAACAAGAATCTGCAATGTTATTGGTCCTGACCTGACATCTCGGTTTCAGTCATTTTCCCACCGCCGTAACGTTTGCTTCCCTCTGCCTTTTCTATAAATTTTTCATGGTAATTTTTCTGATGAACTTTCTTCTATGGTACCTGGACTTTATGAATTTAAGCGCAGTACTAGATTGGCGGTAAGGTCTCAACATTTTACAGATGGAATCGTAACTTTTATGCTAATAGTTTCTTCTCCCGCACTTCTCGTACTTCTCGCTTGTGGAACTCTCTTCCAATTTCTTATTTTCCAATGCAATGCCAATCGATATGTTCTATCTTTTTAATTCCTTTTCTTTTATTGTTCTCTCTCCTTCATAATGTTTTTTTTTTTCTCATATTTTCTCACATTTATTAACTCCATCCGTCTTATTAGCCTTGACAATACTTTATCTAATAAGAATAAAAATTCAACATTGTGCCCACGTTCATTCAAATTAATAGACTTTGGTTAATGATTAAGGCTTTGATTACAGCTTCATCGTCCAAGATTAGTTGATTAGAGCCAAATAACAAATCCAAGGAGAAAATGAATTTTAATTTTAAAATCTTATTGCTCAGTTTCGAAATAGATATCGGAAAAGTACTCTAGACGGAACTAGTGAATCATCTTGAAGTTGATTTCAACCAATTCTCGCATCGCGTCTCAAATAAACGTCATGGGTGATATATTTCTTGATAACTTCTACGTGAATATGTTTTACAAAACCTTGAAGTTATTAATGAAATTCATTTCCATGAAGGAAATTAATTTAATTGCACCAATGAGTTTGGCATTTTCCCAGTGACTCAGAATATTTAAACACAAACTCTGAGATTAAATCAAAGGAAAGACTTTCCAAGCATGGAATAAATCTAACCAAAGTGGTTTCCTTTTTTTTCGTGTTACTTTCAACGTATTAACTAATGAGTTCATCTGCTCGGAAACATTAGACAGCAATAAAACCAACAGCCGTGAAAAAGTCATTTAAAGTTGGTCACGCCCTGATGATATCACTTCTTAACCACAATCGAAAGTTTCAACTTTTCAGACGAAAATAGTTCTAGTGTAGATTTTAGCGCAAGTGCAGGAGTGGTCAGGCTCATTAAGAAAATATTAACTCTTATTGAAAGTAATAGATCGAAGATTCCTTTTGCATAAAACGCGGTATCTGTGGTACTCATTTATTGAACAATGATCAATAGCTTACGGCCATATCACGTTGAAACACCGGTTCTTGCCCGATCAGTGAAGTTAAGTAACGTTGAAACTGGTTAGTACCGAGATGAGGGACCGCTGGGAATGCCAGATGCTGTAAGCTTGGGTGTGCAGGTGGTGGGATGAATAATGAGAAATCAAGGAGCCGAATTCGAATTCTAGTCGAATTTGTTACATTCACTTACACTCAAATACCATTTGGAAAGGCATGAATCCATCTTCCCTCCCCCTGTAGCAGAAGATACTGAACTCCATAGCCTTGTTTGGCAACCAGTCTACCGCAGAAAATAACAGCAGCCTACTGTAGGAAATCTTCTGCCAGGTCAATCATGAATCGATAAGGGACATGACCGTCCAAGCATACACGTGACACCTAGTGAGAAGCCCTAAAATGGGCAGTGCAAAGAGATTAAATAAAGGGTTTAGTTTGATGTTCATTGAAGGTTAGCGGATCGACAATCACCTGATGAAGGCCGGGGAGCACAATGTTCGAAACGTTGTTATAACAACAAAAACAAATATGGGGATAGTAGCCCTCGAGTAAATAATGTAAATAATTAAAATAATTCTCTTATTAGAAATACTTAAAATAAATGTTTCCTGGTGTGAGATTTTTTTATCACTGAATTCAACCAACGCTTTTATCCACAGGGCCAGTAATTCAGTGACTTGACCCAAGGAGTTGTGAGTTCAATACCTGGCCACAGCAGATGTGAGCAGAACTTTGGAGAGTTGAGTTACTAAAGGGAAATAACAGAGATATGCAAAAAAGGGCATGGCACGTGGAACTAGAACAATCTACCCCGGTAGACGAAATAAAGTCTTCGTTCGAAATTCTAAGAAATATCGCCTGAAGAAAGATGGGGTGTACAACAGCTGAAACGTCGTGAATATGACAATAAAGACGAGGACAACGGACAGAAAAATGTAAATAATATTATTGTTATTTTTACTTTCAGATTTATAAGGTTTTTGCCATTGAGTGCTTGAAAGTTGTCTTCACAATTAAGAAAAGGCATTATCAATGTATAGCGGGATAAATTTAAATAGAGATCAAAAAACAATAAAGAAGCGCAGTTGGAAACGCACATATATGCAAATTTGATAGATAGATAGATAGATAGATAGATAGATAGATAGACAGACCGACCTATGGCAGTTACGTAGTTCTTTAAACGATTTTACGATTTCAACCACAACTAATGAGAAATTGTTTGGCATCTTCCGGACAGCTGTTCGGACTGTTGTACTTTATTTCATGTTTAACACTCGACTCAAGGTCTTTTCTCTTTCTTCTTTCGTCTACATGAAAACACGCACATACACACACACACACACACACACATATATATATTATTATAGGTATTATACATAGGTTGTTTCAAAAAACTCTATATCACTTCAAAATCTAATAACTTGACTCTCTTTCAAATGATCTCAGATTTTAACAGCATGTGTAGAAACCATTCAAAATTCTATGTTTAACGTCTTATGTCTTTTCATGTATATAAATGCGATTCATTAGAAAAGAAAAGACGTCCTGTTTATTAGAATCTGCTCGAACACAGTCGAACAAAAAAACTGTGCAGCGTCAAATTTTTTTAGAGAATTCGCTAAAAGTGCACCAATTACAATGCAGATTTGGACATAACGCAAAATGTTCAAAGGGGAAGACTGTGTAGAGCTACCGCCTTGATGCGTAACTGTGAATTTCTCATTTAAATTTTCATGAATAAATCTTATTTTATCATCACGATACCTGTTTAATTTCATCTTCCTAGACTATGTAGTTACTCCGATATCTACATATCAATTTTTCGAAGCACTCGAAACTAGATAGATAGATAGATAGATAGATAGATAGATAGATAGATAGATAGATCTGAATTGACTTTTTTCGATGCAAGAGATTCCCACAACTCAGTTTTTCGAACCAAACAGCCAAACTTCTTGGGTTTTAAATTTAGAGTTTTCCTTCTCTTACATTAGTTGCCACCAAGACTAAAGGGCACAGTTTTACTACTATTTATCCATATCTGGGATGGGGAAAGATACATTCAGATCTTTTCTAGGGATATTTGCACGTAAGTTAATGTAAAGAATTCGACTGAAATTCGAACCCTGCTCTCCGATTTCTCAATTCGAGCCGCTATTCATTACTACACCCTATAGTGTAACGGTTCACGACACAAAATGTGAAGTTGGTGTGCCGAGTTCAGTTCCTGCTCGATTTTCTTTCTTTCACTTGAATGCCCTTGAAAATCGATCTTCTTCCAGTTGACGACAAACAGAATGGCAAAATAAGGTCTCTTGACATAGGTGGAAACCAGTCTAGAAAAAAGAACACTGTATTCAAAACCAGCCTGAAGGGTGATGAGCTATCTTACCCAGGATATCTTACCCAAGACAAACCACTGCTGCTGTGGTTGCAGTTATAATGCATTTATGATCCTAAAAAAAATCCAAAATATCGACAATTTACCCATCGCAGCTTATATATATATATATATATATATATATATATATATATATATATATATATATATATATATATATATATATAAATATATACTTTTAAAAGACTGTTTTTCATGGGAAAAATTTTAAACATTTCTTACTTAAGATTACTAATTTTATAATCTAAAAGGTTATGTAGACAAAAAGTTATAATCCGAACATTTTATTGAGAAATTGACATTTTTATAAAATGAGGCGTTTTACGTTTTACTCTTGATCAAAATTATAAAACCAGAGACAAAAATTCTACGATATTGTACGAAAAATGTACGAAAACATTCAACAATCAAATTTAATAATGAGTTCTACCTCAACTGGTTTTGATGACTTCAAATATTTTTGGGGGCATGCTAGAAATTAGTGTTTCCATTATGCTATGAGAAATATTGCTCCAGCTTCTGAAGATAGCTTCACGAAGTTCATTTTTTGTTGAATATTCTTTACCATTTCGATAAACATCTCTTGCCATCCATCCCCAAACATTTTCAATTGGGTTCAAGTCCGGTGAGCATTGGCAGGATGTCTCAAGAGATTGACCCCATTTTCTTGTAGAAAGGTCAAGGTCCGACATGTAGCGTGGATTGCAACATTATCCTGTTGGAATAACCATCCATCCCCACAAAATCGATGGCCCTCCGTCACCAACGATGCTTTTTGTAGCATGCTAACATAACCAGGCGCTGCCCGACGACCCTGCACCAACTGGAGCTCCATCGTCCTTCTGTAAGAAAAGGCACCCCCATACCATTAGGAACCCTCCACCACTATGGCGTGTGGAGAAAATTTCAGGAGGCATGTTTTTGTTATGCCAATATCTTTGGAAGCCATCAGGACCATCTAGATTGAATTTTTTCTCATAAGAAAACAGGACCTTCTTCCACTTCTCAATGTCCCATGTTTGGTATTCACGACCAAATCTTAAACGGTTCACTTTGTGACGTGGAAGCAGCCAAGGAATTTGTTTGCGCTTTTTATTTACCATGCCTTTTTGTCGTAAGTGTTGTCTGATGGTTACTGGACTGCAATCAGCATCTGGGGCTGCCTTAATTTGACTACAAGAAAGTCCACTGGCTTTCACAACAACCCGTCTTATTCTCCTACTCAATGCCGGAGAAATTGGGGGGGCTATCAGCAGACTTTGCGTTTCCATAATTCGCACTGTCCTTTAGAAAGTTGCAAATTACGGTTTTACTGCGATTTACCTTAGCTGCGATCGCCCGCCATGACAAACCTTGATTATGGAAATCTAGAATTCAAGCACACTCAACTTCAGTAAGTTTGCTTGCTTTAGGCATGGTGACACATTTACGCAGTGATTGCTAATCTCTAAAAACATTAGAATTACCCTAGATCTAACAATTTATACTCCCTGGTCTTATAATTTCGATCAAGTGTAAAACGCCACATTTTATAACGGATTATAACTTTTTGTCTACATAACCTTTTAGATTATAGAATTAGTAACCTTAAGTAAGAAAAAGTTTATAATGTATCCATGACAAAGAGTCTCTTATAAAAAAAAAATTCAGGTGGTCTTAAATTTTTGATCAGGAGTATATATATATATATATATATATATATATATATATATATATATATATATATATATATATATATATATATATATAGTTAATATATGTTAATTTCGCGTAAGCACATTGTTTCTTTTTTGATTTTGTCGATTGCACAGTAAGATCAGTTGGGCACCGTCTGTGGGAAAAAGTGCACCATGACGCAGTTCACTCCGCCAGAAATTTAGAAACGACATGCTATACTGCTTGGCATTCACGCCAAAAGCTCCATTAGGAATGTTTCAGAGTTTTTGGGTGCCAATCTGAAGACAGTGCAGAGGATTCGAAATGAGTTGGATGAGTTTAATGGTGATTACGAAGCTGTTTAGAGTTATCACTAATGATGGCGACGTTATCTTCTAATGGGGCCTCAATGTCAACACTGAGGCCTACATCAAGTACCTTGAAGCGGTAGTGTTGCCCTGGGAGAAGAGGGTGCCTACTAGAAGAACTTACGTCTGGCAAAAGGAGTCTGCACCATGCAATACAAGCAAGAGAACCAGGTCATGACTGTCTGACAATTTCTGTGACAACATCACCCCTTACATTTGGCTACCTAACTCCCCAGACTGCAACCCCCTATATTATGTGTGAGGCGAAGTTGAGCGAGAGACCAACAAAACTCCTTGTAGCACCAAAGATCAACTGAAGGCAAAGATTATGGCAGCATTCACCAACTTAAACAAGGGGACCGTCCAGAAGAGTTGCAAGAGATTCCGAAGTCGGCTGGAGGCCGAGGTTGAAGCTAATTGTGATTACATTGAGTAAATGTATTCTTTATTATTTCAAGATATCTTTGTGTAATTTTGGTAAATATATCTTTTAAAATGAGATGTCAGTGTTATTTTCATTTTTGCGTAAGCTTGACGACAATTTATCCATCGCATCCTGTGTGTGTATATATATATATATAGATAGATAGATAGATATATATAGATATAGATAGATATAGATATAGATATAGATATATATATATATATAGAGAGAGAGAGATAAATGACATGATAATAGGA